ATTACATACCACTTTCTTTTGGTATAAAGCTGTTTAATGTTATATCACACTGTATTCAGGATAAGTATGATTCTTAGAGTTCTGGACCTCCTTACCCAAATACACATTTTCTACTCTCCCTTAAAAATAACAAACTCCTATCAGGTAAGGTACCTCCTTTTCATAGCTTTTCTGTAAATGTTCTTTTCTACGTGATACTTGTTTCACAGAAAAACGTATGTAATTTTTGGAAGTGGGGAATGGAGGCAGGTATGGTGGGGGCACAAAACATAAACTGTATTATGTGTGCACAGGCCCTTAGCTGTATTAGCATAACCTGTGTTAGCACTTAACTCTTTAAACTGTGATGTAGAGTGTAGTCTGAAATAATCCTCATTTTTCAGAATGCACTCCTAAGTTTCCCTGCAATCTAGAGAAACCTGGATTTTTTTCTCTTTGGAGAAAGAAGGAAGCAAAATAGGAACTAGGAAGGCCCAAGAGTTATAGGGATAGGAGTAAGAGCATCTCTCGACATGCTTGTAAGTGTGCCTTGCTAAAGCACCCAGTCTTCTGAGCTTGAAAGTTGCAAGTACCCTTCTTCTCTAATGAGGTGATGCTTTTAAGGACAGGCAAATAACTCGTTCTTTACTTCTTCTTTACCCAAGAACAAAAACAGTCACTTCCCTAAACTAATGAAATAATGTGAAATAATGCTAAGCCATTTATTGAGGATGATTTATTGAGAAAGACATTTTAATTAATTATAAGTTATCAAAAAATGTGGAAGAATTTTGTATGCTGTATGTCAGCCTGAATAAATAGATCCATAGAGAGACAGACAGAGCAAGTCATTTGGAATACACCAGTCAACAGCAGAAATGTAAACATACTCCAGCTACGCTCTCTGAACTCGTATTTCATCATGTCACAGAACTTCGATTAATGCAGGCTGACTGCTGCACTTGTTGAATTCAATAGTGAGTTCCTCACAAAATGCAATTTAATTCACAGCCCATGGATCAGAATCACATTGTGACTGACTGGAAACTCAGGAGGACAGGACCTTGCTGCAAAGGAGTCTCTGCTCTGTCTTAAAATGGATATATGAAGTTTGTTTGCAGAGCTGAGTAGGCTTAGAGTAAGAGCAAACAAATAAAATTCTGAGGCACACAGGTCTTTGTTCCAGCATGTTTGTACAACCTTATCTCTGAGACAGGTAGATCTACCATGTATTTAATCTTCATCTGGTACTGGTAGAAATAAAATAATATCCCCTAAGACTGTTGCTTACCACACTATTAGAATTCTAACCTTTGAAAAGTAGCAGTCCATTGGAAAAAAACAGTGTAAAAATCAAACACAGTTCAGTTGGTTGTACTGAAATTAGCCTTACTCTGGCAGCTAAGGAAGGGAAGCAGTTGTCTGTGTTTCCTCATCGTATGTCTTGATGCTTTTTGTTTAATATTTTTGTTGTCTTGATAAAATAAACACAGGGTTTTTTTATAAGGGGTGTATAGCTCTGATACTGAGAAGGAAAGCTTGGTTGCAAACAGGTGTTTAAGGTCTATGCTCCCAGAGGCCCAAGTGTCTGGAAAGCAAATTTGACATGCAGCAAACTTTAGCTTGTGCTGGTGAAATACTTTGCCAAATGAAATGTCCTTCACTATAAAAGGCTTCTTACAGCACTTTGTTTGGCACTTTTTCTTTTGATTGCACAGTGAGGTACCTCAAAAAGCAGCCTTAGATATCGAGCTGCATGGCAACATTCCCTTTCCTAATTGTCTCCATTTTGCACACTTTACAAGTCCTTCTTTGGAATTGTGTAAGTCTCTTCTTCTTCCTTCAGTTGCAGGTTTATTTTAAGTCAAATTATTACAGCCTCTTGTCTGGTCTCAGGGTTGTGAGGTACTGCAAATACGTTCCTTTAGCATGACAGAGACATTGTGGTACAGCTTAGTCAAACTTGGAGCAATAGCTTCTTTATGTGTTTAAAAATAAAATATAAGTATCAGTTTAATAAGGCAGAAGAATCTTAATTGCTAAATGTTTGTAGACAATTTTGAGATGGTCAGAGGCATGGTCCTGTGCAAATGCAGTATTTTATTAAAATATTTAATAAACAGGTTCTCTGACCCAACAGAGGGAACAAAGAAGCCTGTCCACTCTTAATTTTCCCTACCCATAATTATTTCTGCAGAACATAAATTATATATTGTACAGCTTTATTCTGTTTACAGAGGATAATTATACTAGAAACTCCAGACTTCTTTCTGTGGAGGGACCTCTTTCTCAGAAACCACACCTTTTAGCAGTCTGTTTTTCATTTGAGAAGGGCTGGATTTCCATTTATGTCAACACATTTTTACAGAATGGCTACTTTCAAGAGATGGATACAGGTAAAATGGGAAACCCTTACTCACAAATCATAATAATTCAGTGTGGAAGATGTATTGTAAGCTTATGATATAGGAGCGAAAGCTTTTTTTTGCACGTGTAGTCTGCACATGACTCCTAACCTGCTACTGTAACTGAGAGAAACCTCTAATTCCTGTTGTAGTCATCTGATCACCTTCAGTGGTATGTCCATGCTACAAGGGAACTTGGACTCGGTGTCAAATGAGGCAAGGCAGGATGCAAAGTGGACAGTACCAGTTGCTCTGTGTATGAGACTGGAGGCTTTTATGGATCTATTTACATAATATTTAAGCAGATTAATAAACTGGAAGTCAAGGTTCTAAAGTAAGGTTCACAACCCACTTGTAACACAGCAGGAGGTCAAGTCTTCCATTCTCCAATGTTAGAGACCAATGGACCCCCTATACTTGCAATTTTGTAAGAACATAGTGTTTCAGAAATGTTCCAACTTTCTAATAGTCTCATAGTCACACTTCACTGCTTGTAACCATCCACAAGTTGCAAAATTATATTCTTGTGTGAATAATTTTAGTAAGGGGGTAGCAGCAAGGAAACTGAATTCTGTTCTTAGAAAATCCCATTCAAGTCTTACTTCTGCTGAAAAAGTTTGTTTGTTTTTTTATGCAACTGTGGTGTACTCAGGGCTTTTTTTTTTTCATCATTGCATATGCAAAAACCAGACCTGCAGAACTGTTCCATGTGGTGAACAGTCTGCTAAATCCAGACTGTTTTGCCTGAGTAGCAGATTTCCATATACATCATTATGAGGTTGGAATTTTTTTTGATTTATGTAGGCTCTGTTCCTTCAAAGGGATGTATGACTGTAGACTTTTATACCTACCAAAGTGGTTTCTTATCAAGCGCTGAGGAAAATAAGAGGCCAGATCCTGTTGAAGAGTAAGAGACTTGTTTTGCAAAGAACTTTTATTTCTTGCCAGTAATTTGTCATGGAAACAGCATGTAAACAGAAAGCCACACAAAGTAACTTAGTTTTTGATACTTTTAATGATGTCCAAGATGGTTCTTGATGGTTAGTGAATGATGTAAGCCACAGTGTGTAATGCAAATTTTGATTTGGTAAGGGACTATGAAGAAAGATTTAGGTCAGTACTGCTAGCAGGAAGTAGCATGGACTTTACCTAGTTGTTGCCTTGTACAGCCTGATTTAAATAAGCGTTAGATCTTGCCACACCAAAGAAGCCATTATCCTGAGTAACAGCAGGTGTGTTTCAGTCTTCTGTCCTTTGATAAAGGCAAATGGTTAAGCTGCCTAAAGTTACCTTACTTATATGGATTCCTACCATTCAGATATCAAGTATGTGCATGGACAGAATTAATATCCTTGTTTTTGTCATTTCGTACTGGGCATGAACAAAATCATAGAATCGTAGAATATAAATATAAACCAATGTAGATTGGCAAGAAGGAGCTTATCTGGACAAGCCACTTCTCAGAGCAGGGCCAGATCATGGCCCTGTTGTTCAACTGGGCTTTTAGCACCTCTGAGGACAGAGCACCGAGCCCCACTTCAGAGAAGCTATTGTAATCCTTCTCTCAGGGGGACCCCCCTGTCCCACCCCCTGTGGTGAGAGCCCCGCTTGTCTCGGGACACAGGCAGCACAGGGGGTCCTGGAGTGGATACAACACAGACTCAAAGTATCTAGACACAGGAGGCCCAAACTTGCTGGAGTAATGCCGGGTTTATTGTCTGTCATCCATCCGGGGCAAGAAAGAGACCAAAATGCCCTGGGTCTTATCTCTTATACCAGGGGGTGGGGGTGATCGGGGGATACAGGGAGGCCACAGCCAATGGGAAGGGGGAAGGGAAAGAAGGTTCTCAGGTAGGAACTAACATTACACAAACCAGAGGTGAGTTCTACCCTTGGGAGATACCAAGATTTTTAGATGCACCACAACAAGAAGCCTCTGACTCCACCATCTCTATAATTTTCCATTAGGTAATTGAAGGCATCAATATGCCTTCAGCTTCCCTCCTTGGTATCCCCCCCTCTGCAATGTTCTCTGAAGACTGAACAAACCCATTTCTTTCAGCATCCTCCTTACAACATTATGTACCTGATATCTTTCTGGCCCACTGCCCCTTTAGTGGGTTAGCATCTGTTTTCCATTGGGAAGTCCAAAACTGGAGTAGATTATGTGACTGATATTTGCATCTGGCCATCTATGACTCCTCAGTCCCAAGTATTTAGATTATTCTTAGCTGGTTTGACTGAAGGTGAGTTTTAGAATAGCTGAGGAATTCAGGTCCTCTACCCCCCACTAACAAGATACCTGAACTACAGTACTCCACATCTTACTGATGAGAGCTAAGAAACAGAACTGTTCACAACGAAGAAGCTATTTCCTGAGAGAATGTTTTGTATTAGTAATACTCTTGATTTAAGTGGTTAATTTACAGTGGATCATGGTATAACCTGTTTTTACAGATGGTATCACTCAATACTTTGTATTATCACCACAGCATAAAATATACTTCCTCTTGGCCCTCTGACTTCAAGAACAGGGAAAGAGGACTGCGCAGAAATAATTTTCAAATCCCAGGGACTGTACATGTAATGTATTCTTAACTTAACTTATTTTTCTAGTGCCCTTGGAGGATCATCTGCCCTTCACATCCCAGTCTTTCCTGGTGGAGGTTGTCTCATCGACTATGTACCCCAAGTATGCCAGCTGCTAACAAACAAGGTAAGCTGCTGCAGACAATCAGTTTTCCTTTCCCTTTTGCACTGTACTGCATTTCCACAGACATCTTATTCTTCTGCCAGGTATTTTAAGCAAGGCATACTTAGGCTGAACTACACAGGGAATACCCCCTTGACAGAGCTGAGCACCTAAGCACAACATTAAATAGGATGACTCCTTTAGGTAAACAAGTGAGTTTGAGATCACATCCCACAGCAGTTTTTTTTCTTACTGCAACATGTTATGATTTAGGATAAAATGTTATTGTAATGTACAACACTACAGTGTAGTATACTGGTTTGTAGTAAATATATATGTGTAGTTTGCATATTCATGTTCTAGTTGCAAGTTCTCATACCCCAGTAATTATTGTAAGCTTTGAATACTTTCCATGATTTTTCTTCTCAGATGTTTCCTCCAGATGAACTGAATCAACAGTTTCTTTGGATGTTTGTACAGTAATAGCTACTAAAGGTTGCTGATAAGATTATGTTCCATTTAGCTTACCATTTAAACAAAAAAGAATAATTATAGTATTTTGAAAGGTTCTCCATTATTTAAGTATAATTTTCAAAAGAAGGCTTAGGGGTTAACATCTAGAAATTTACCTATTGCAGACTTCCTATTTGTATATTATTTTTACCTTCAATTGTCTAAATAAAGAAAATAATTTTATCTTTTAGAAAAAGTTCTTCAGAATGTGTTTCCATAATTATGTTGAATCTATCATTAGAATTGTTTTTGCTGTGGTTTTCTGTTTAAATTACTTTCAGTTTTTAAAATCTGCAAGTACACTGGACTGTTTTCATCCTTTTTTTAAACAAAGTCACTTAAGCAAACTTATCGCATGTTTTCCTCTTCCCAAAATAACAGTTCAGATCCTACACAAAGCCTTCAAAATAATCTTAGTGTTTTATAAAATACAATGTCTCAGTTTATAAACAGAATTTAAGTTATACAAGACAGCTCTCAGCAATGGTTGTATCAAGACTTTTTCAGTAATTTTAGGAAAGCATTTGACAGCCAAGGAATTCCAGTATTGCCATAGCCCAGAAAATACTCTTCCTGTTCTTTTCAGTGGGTGAAAAAAGGTTCCTAAAATGCTAGTTTTAGTTCTGGAAAGCAAAGCAATTTTCACAGGGAATCACATATAAACCATACCGTAAGTACTTCTAAGTCACCAGTTGTAAACCCGGTGTCCTTGCAGCCTGGTGGCACATGCATTGTTTTCGTTATGGGTCAAACCATGCTCACACTGTTCTCCTAAGTTATGCCATCCAAATCAACGAGAAAACATACATGGAGTGAGGAGAATTTTGCCTTAAGTCTCCAAATTTAGTATTGTCAGATTTTGTCTGTGCCAGGATGGAAGTCTTTCAAAACCCAGAATGCCTCAGAAACTGATGCTCACAGTTGAGTAGGTGGCTCCCTGAGTCAGCATGAAACGAGTGAAAGAGCTTAGCGTTCAGAAGATTTTGTTGGAGGTGCAGTCTTCAGAAAACACCCAAGATCAGTAGTGCAAGATATTTAATTTTTTCTTCTCTTCTATAACCAGAATGTTATTTTGACACAGTGTAATGTCAGTTCAGATAACTGATTTGCCTATCACATGTTTCTACTCAAACTTCAGTAAGGCAAGGGTGAGCATTTCTTTCTTTCAGTCTTCATCTAGTGCAATTAAACAGTACTTGAATCTATTGTGAAAGATTAAGTTTCACTAAGATATGATTGAAGAGATTTCTTTACAAGACATTCTGTGCACAACATCCAGAGTTTGACTTAAAGGTGTTTTAAGATTCTTTAGGGAAATAATGCTAAATGTAGGATTCAGAACTACTACCATGTCAAACATAAATCTTCCTTAACAAGAAATATATGACAAACTGGGCATTGGGGTTTTTAATCTTTTTATAGCTCTGTATTTCTTTTCTTTCTGTTTTAAGGTACAATATGTTATTCAGGGATACCATAAGAGAAGAGAGTACATTGCAGCTTTCCTGAGTCACTTTGGAACGTAAGTTTTCTTCTGATGCATATTTTTCTGTAGTGTGAGGGAAACTCATTTTCTGCGTATGGTTTGTGGTTGTGTGGCTGCTGTCCACTGGATGAGATGAAATCTAGTCATTTTTCACAGAATGATGTGTACAGATTGTCTCTGTAACAATACTGGAGTGTACTTCAGCATTATTTCACTTCTGTTTCAGTGGCCAATCTGTTTTTTCTAGAAAATAGGTGAAGATGGGAAAGGGACAGTAGGGATTTTCCTTGTACAGAAAAATGTGTTCATTTCTGAATAAATGACTTAAGGGGTCTTACAAAATAGGCAGTGTCAAAGGTGGGAAAATGGGGAAGCAGGTGTGGCTAATCATGTTGAGGGGTTTCTGCATCCATGGGCTAGTGCTAATGACATGAATATTTGGGAGCCCTTCAAATCTTAGGTTTTTCAAGTGAGAATTTAACAGAACAATAAATAGATAACAATAACTTCAACTGGACATACAAGTAGACAGTTAATGCAAGCTTAATCTTTATCAAGACATTTCCTTTTCTTCTGAGAAAACTGTATTATAGAAATGGCCATGTGTGTCTATTACTGTATAACATCTGCATTGTGGTTTGTGAGTTCTGATACTGCTTCAGACTTAGAGAATACCAGCTTCTGATGGTTGAAACTTTTAAACCATCTTTTAAACAAGTGTTCTATATGGAATTTATTGTTATGATCTCATGTTTTGCATTTTTTACATATACTCTTCCCAGTTTTCAAATTTAAACTCTTCTCAGCCTGCTTACTGTCAGTTTTACCCTCTCACTCACTGCAGCAATGAAAAATAATCTTAATTTGAGTAAGGTACAGGGAATTTGTGTATCTACAGTTTTTATCAATTTAGGAGTACAGATGTGGTAGCAGGTCTCCTTTCATTCAGAAGTGTATTTTAAACAGAAAATGGCCTTTCTTTGGGTAAAAACTTGCAATACTACAACATAATTTAAACAATTACTAAGATTAAAAGTGTAATCTAATTTACAATTATCTAGAAAATTGTAACTGTTAATAAAAGCAAATCCTGGAAGTTTCTGAACAAACAAACAAAAATAACAATCCCTGTATTACAAAATTTGCATATTCATCATCCAGCATTTGAAGGTAAAAATTGTATTAATTTTTTTGTTGGGTTTTTTTTTGTTGATAGTGGTGTAGTGGAATATGATGCAGAAGGATTCACAAAGCTTACTCTGTTGCTGATGTGGAAAGATTTTTGCTTCCTTGTTCACAGTGAGTAACACTTTGCCTCAGGCATAAATGTCTATCTTCTGAAGATACAAGTTCAAAAGGGAAAATGTACAATTACAGGAAACAATTTAAAAGTTTTAGCTATTTTTATCCAGTGCTTAATCTATTTTTAATGTGATTTAGAAAACACAAAATCTCAGTTGTATCTAGAGAAGAGGAGAGGATGCATACCAGGAGTGCAATGTTGGCTTTACAGAACGCCAGAAGGGTGTTTCTGTTAATTTGACTCAAGATTAAATTCACTGTTTTAACTTGGCTTTTCAAAAGTATAAGTGATGAGAACTGTTATTATACTCAACCCAGGAGTACCTAAAATCACCTGTAACTGTCAGGAATTAATGCATTGATAACAACTGTAAAGACACTTTATGTAGAGAAAATATATCACATAAGAATTAACAACATATTGTCATTAGGATCCAAAACTTATTCCTAGAATGAAACTGTAGGCAAAACAGTCCTAACAACATAGCTAGGTTTTCTGTCATTTAAAATTTTAAAATAAAGATTGTATTACTATGAAAAAGACATTCTTAATTTAAATATATAGGAATTACTCCATGTGGAAATTAGTAAATGTGGCTTTGATGCTGCCTTTTACATATTCCCTTGAGTTTCAATTTCTCTTTTTTCTTGTGGCAAGGTGAAATTCACAAGGATCAAAGATATTTTGATCTGGGGAAATTCAGTCATGTAACTCTTTAGATTTGATCGTTACACTTCTTATTTATGTTTAAAGTTATTACATTACAATATGGGCAGCTGCAGCATTGGTATTCAATAGCATTCTAGCACTGGAGTCTTTCATATTACATAATTTTTTGTTGTGGGCTATCTTTTCATGTGGAAAATTAATGCTGTCTTAATGACATCATAGAAATTTGTCCCAGAGTTCTTAATGCGGAAAGTTGGGATTGCTGTTGTTTGGAGAAGTCCTTCACACTGTATTGTATTGGAGATCATAAAAAATGGTCTCACTAACCCCTTTCTTTCTGTCCTAAGATTACCTTACCACACATTAATGATTTTAAGAGGTCTAGAAAATTCGAACCTGAAATTAAAACACTTCCATCATGTTATTATCATTTATGTTGGGGGCAAAAATAGAATTAAAGTGGTATCTTTGGGAAAAATATCCTCATGAAGTCTTACATTTCAACTACAGTGGAGGACTGTACACTGGACTGTAAACTGGACAATTGTCTTCTGTGAGACAGCACTTCTTTATGTACAGCCTTCCTGAACACGTCCTACCTTTCTTACTCCCCAACATATTTGGCTTAATTTAATCAATGTAAAAATTCCTGTGGATTTTATTTGTTCTGTGAGATAATATACCTTAATACATGTTGAATTACTTAGATTTCAGGTGACTCAAAATTCAAATTTCTGCTAAATAACAGAGCAGATTCTAACTGTGTAATATTCGTGGTATTCAATTAAACTGTCATGAAAGCTACAATTATAAATGAATAGTTTATCACTGTGTATTAACCCTGCGGCCTTAGAAGTCATACACTGGCTTACCTGTGTAAGCCATTGCATCACTCACTTGTTGAACAATTCAATGCAAAAGTATTTCTGGTCCATGCGCTGAAGGATATTGCAATGAAAGGACCAAAACCTGCGCTTCATTTCCTGAGTGAAGTAATGCGGGCTTTCATCTCCTAACCACTGACATAACTATGTAAAATGTCTGGGAGAGATAGCAATAAGTGGAAAACCATTCTACTTTATATATTTAATATAGCATGTAGATAAAGTATTCAGAGGAGAGTAAATAGGTCAGCAAACACTGTGGCAAATCAAATTAAAGGAACCATAGTAAATTTTGGTCAAAATTTTAGGTTTGAGATTAAGATTTAGGTGAGAGTTAAAGACCCTAACATGAGTCATATTGCCTTTAGAAGATGGATTCATAGGTTTCCAAAATAACTTTGGCATCGTTTTATAACTGTTTGCATTGAGAGTTACAAAATCGTTTGGACACTAGGAAGCAAAAAACATTAGAAGCAAGTTGAAATTATTCAAAATAGTTTTATTGAGTAAAGTGGGTTAAAGAGGAGAGAAACAGAAAAATAGTTCTGAATTGCTGAAGCGAAATAAATGTAGAACAAATTCATATGCTAAAGAAAAAGACTGTGCTGTAGTTACAGATCGAAGAGCTGAGTCTACACACTCTACCTTAAAACACCAAGGAGCTACCTAGTTGCAGACTTGATCATTAGACTAATGAAGCTGCTGGAGTTATTATATTAGATCAAAGACTAGTCAAAGGACTTCTTTAGTGGTTTAGTTTTAAGAATTAATTAAGTGCTTTCAAATATAAGACAGAAGAAATAAACATTTAGAGAAGTTAATGCGTCCACATGGGAAAGGAAATCATTAATCAGGCTTACTGATACTATTTATAAGTAAGTCTCGGTATGAAGCTTTGTAAGTAAACCTCAATAGACTGCTCACTTTTCAATAGACTTTCTCTTCTTGTTTATAACCCATGATATGATTAGTTTTTGGAGACAGATATTTCCTTGTATTCTTGTTCCTGTATACAATTTATGTATTTATACCATATAGAAATAAATTATTTTTATTCATTTATATTACTATTATATTATTATAGAAGATATATTATATAATTATATAATTATTGAATATCAACATATAGAATTATTATATATTATATTTATTGTTTAATATTTTAATATATCATTAATATATTACACTAATAATGTAATTTAGTATAATTATATGATGTTATTATATTATGTTATATTATATTATTATTTTATTTATTTATATTACTTATAAATGATCATTTAGGTTGGAAAAGACCTTTAAGATCAATTCTGGCCATTGATGCAATAACCAACCAATATTAGATAAAAACATAAATTACATTATCTGTGCATAATTAAGAATTAAGTAGTGTTATTTTTATAAACACAAGAGTAAAACTCTGAAGCAACCTGTATTTGGGCTTTTCAGAGATTAATTTTTATCTTGCAAGATATTTAGTTTATCAGCACTAAGGAGATGGACAGAAGTTGGACCAGCTTGCAGTAGCAAATGAAACACTGCTTGTGTTAGTGGTTGTTTAAGATTTCTTGAAAAGGACAAATATTAAACTAAAAAGAATTTGTTTCACTGAACAGTATTTTAGGGGGTGGAGAATATTGAAGGCTGCTAGCACTTATATTTCCAGTTTGTTTGGGATCTCAGTCACGGTGAAGTTGGTTGGGAAGATTTGCTGCAAGTGACTTGGCTGACTGTAACAGATTTCAGTTTCTGTGTGGATAATGCCACTGACCCAGGAGTTCCAAACTGCTGGTCATGTAAAAGCTCGAGTTTAATTGATGATCATTCTTGTGTTGGGAATGCCAGCTTAAGTAGCTTTTTGTCCACCCTTTAACTTGTTTGTGCAGTTAGGTGATTGTCTCTAGTAGAGGATAGATCAGAAACAGCATCCATCCAGAATAAACATCCCAGCAAGAAGAAAGTTTTGAAAAAGAAGTGACAAGCAAACAAGGGACCTAAAGCATTACCTGTGAGTGTCAGGCTTTGGGTGGACACGTGCTTCTGGATTCAGGGTTTTTTGGTGGACGTTACCAAGACCAGCTTCTGATGCATTCTTGTTTGGATATTGCTGTCCGCACACATTTGTGAGTCTTTTCAAGAAAAGTTATGGGAAAAAAAACCCTTGTCTGCCTGACCCATGTTGTAAAAAATAAAGGACAAGTATTGAGTGGAATATTTACATTAGATTGTTTCAGTGAGCTTTTATCTCATGAGGTGTTTTAACTTTCTTATATAGTGCTGTTATTTTATTCTTCTCATTGTTCCTTAAATGAAAATTGGAATTTATGACTCTGAAAACTAAAGAAGGTAAAAAGAGAACATGGCTGTGTGAATAACAAGGTGATATCTGGTCCTGTCAGGAAAGCAGGATAGTTCAGTAGAAATGCCAAGCACAACAAAATAAATGTTTCAGAAGTCTAGAATGAGAAGTTCAATGCTGATCCAAACAATCTGTAAATATTTTATAAGGCTGTTATTTCATTCTTAAATGAGAAACTGTAGATTAACAAAACCCCAGTGATGTAAAAGTGGCTAGAAAAAATAAAATTTGGATCTTATGCTTGGGAATAAGCATAGAAGTGTCTTTCTTTGGTAGTCTTCTCCTCTGACTCAGTACTTCTTGTTTGTTCCATGTATTTCTTTGAATCTGGTCTTTGAGAGTTTCTGAAAGCATGTTCTGCCTATAGCAAAATATACCCTGAACTGAAGGGGTTTCTTCAAACTTTGTACATTGTTTCAATCACTCAAAGCAAAGCATTCTCTGGGACGTCTCTAGCGTAGTGAAGTGTGTCTTGCTTACTGAAGTCAGTGAAAACTGCAGATATACTGCAGTGCTGTGGATCAGGCAGCGTGATGGAAAAGTAGCCTGAGTCATAGGCACACGGTTCTGCACTAAACTAGGCATGGGCTTAGACAGGGGCTAATCACAGGACTGAATTGTGGCAAATGGAAAATTAATGAGTCTTTTGCTGATCATTTTCATCCATGGTGTATTTTTCTCCTGTATTTCTAGGGGATACTGCCAAGTTTGATTTAGTTTGAAATTTTTATTGAAAGCTGGTAATTTTATTTTTGACATTAATAGTATTTTAAACATTTTGTTCCTTTGATTCCACCTTGGCTATTTACTTGTATCTGAGCCAAATGAGATTTTTTTAATATAGGTATTTATAATGGATGCAGGTGAATCTGAAAAGTGGTTTTCTTTTCCTCTTTTTCTGTTTCTCTAGATTCATTTTGTTTTCATGTCACTCAGTATAAGCTTGTTTTAATTTCCTATTTTTAACTGCAGGAAAATGGGGACAGCAGACAGCTTATAAAACTTGGTATCCACTCAATTTTTGAAAAGAAATAATTAGGTCACAAAAAGTAATTGACAGGGGGCAGGGCTTGAGTACAGGGTG